ATATATATATATATATATAGCTCGATTTAACATTCTTTGGTGACCAGCCCACTGCTATTTTTTACTGTATATTTCACGCTAGCCCTTTGGCTATTTTACTAGCCCAATCATTGGACTCATTTTACATCAGTAACATTATGTTCTTGGCCAAGCATACTAACTTGAAGCAGTAGTTTATAACTGACCACCGGGCCAGTAATAAGGTAGGTTTACTAGCCCAGAGGAGTTTCCACTAGACATTGTACGATGGACTAGTACTAAATCGAGCCCTAATATAATAATAATAATTATTATTATTATTATTATTAATATTATTATATATATATATAGGCCTATATAATATGAAAAAGACGATGTGATGCGTAAATTAATACTAAATTCACATAATATAGGTACTGTATCAGTATATTTTTTTATTAAAATAAGTAATAGTATTGAGGAAAAAATAATCCGGCCACGGTTCCGACCTCGGCCCTGGTAAAACAGGAACTGGGAGTATGAGTGGCTCGATTGTCATCGGTTCAGGAAGCTTTTGACTTTCCGCATACTCATAATTATTGACATCATCATCATCAGCATCATCATCATCATCAATATCATCAGAGCCACCACCACCGTCCATATCATCAGCATCACCATCATCATCATAAAGGAATAGCGCTTCAGAAAAAGAATAATTAATTCTTGACAATGTTCTAATAAAGAATCAATTATGGCCTCACCTCTGTCATTTTCGGAGTCACGATACTCATATTTGAATAATGAATTGTTTTTTATAACCTCTCCAGGTGGCGTTTTACATATAAACAATACTGAATAGAGTTGAAAGACTACGAAGGAGACTATTAATTATTAAAACAATTAATAACAAATGTGAGTACAGTGTTGAACATTTTTAATCGTTAATTCAATAGTTAAATAGGAATTCTGTCTTCATTGGGTAATGGTTTTGACTAATTTTGTTAGGCATAAGGCATTGGCAATTTTCTCGACAAAAGCATGCACTGGCATGGCTGCATTTTGATTCTATTCAACAACATACATTCCTAGTGACCCGCTAAAACTATCAAAGACCAGCTAAAGAAAACGTTTAATTTAGAGCATGGGGCTTGTGAACTTCCGTTCGTTGTTTACATAGGTCTATTGTAGATTCTATTTTTAATTGACATGAAATTTATTACAAAGAATCTTGTCTTTCCTGGTGCACAAATTTTAATGATGAATAATCGAAATTTGTTATAGCCCGACAAAAATATTTTCTGTATCATTTTAAAGGACAACGAAAGTAATCGAGGTACGCCAAAAGGCATCTTTATCAATATTGATATTAATATATTTATGTATGTGTACCTCCATGATGTCGATATCAAATTTAGCTACCCCGGTAACCAGTGGCGGATCCGAAATAGAGGGGATCCATGGTAGGACTTTAACAGATGGATCTATGATTATGGCACCTCCACGACTTCGCGAATATCAATACAAATTTCTTTCTTTTTCCTCCATTTTTAAAATAATTTCAATAATTTGAAATCCGCCACCAAATTGTATTTTCGAAAATACAGAGCAGTTGACCTTTTATATATAATAATAATAATGATAATGATAAAAAAAAATAAAAAATAAAAAAAAAAATAAAAAAAAAATAATAATAAATTTATAAAGCGCCGGTGATATTCGTTTAAGAGAAAATGCACATGGCACCCCTCCCAAAAGAAAGTATATATACTGTCTCTTATACACATCTAGATGTGTATAAGAGACAGGAATAAGGACAAAGGCGGGTCGCATGTAAAGGAAGGCACGCCAGCAGCCTATACTAAGTGCAAGTTTTGCAGTTGATCCTTTATTCAAAGAGGGA